GCAAGGCTTTCGGAGGTTTCAGCACTCCTCCTTGATCGAAACTCGGAGAGATCACACTCTCCTCATTTGTTCAGCCTTGCCCAACATTAATTATCCACGATCTCGAAGAGACCTTCCATCGTTCTCACGGCAGCACTGACACATGCGAAGCGGCCTTGCCTTCGTACTCCTTAAGCCCCAGCATCGCTCATGGGTATGAAATGTGTCTCCATGAGGACTCACGTAGATAGGGTAGTTCCATCCGGCGGGGTCTGGTACTGGCACTGGGACTTCACGGTCTTGGTAACATACAAGAGGCCGCGCATCAACCTGCGTAGATGCATCTGCCGTTGATCTCTTCGTAGAGGTGGGCCTTGGTGAGGATGTTCTCTGGCTCGTTGAAGGAGCAATACTCACATTCCTCTGAGATTGGCTGGAGCTAGAACTTGAAGACGCTGCCATAGGGTGTGCGGGCGTCGACGAAGTAGGTGATTCCAAACCACCCATCTGTAGTTCAAGTTCTCGCTGTACGCTTTCCCTCAATCTCTTCATCCGGCGAGCCGAACGGGTCTCGGTGGGTTGGCTGCAGCATCGATCAACACAAAGCCACACAAATTCCCATAAGCCCACCATGGCTATCCCAAGAACCAAGATCATCACATAGAGCTCAATGGAAGTGTTGATCGCAAGGGGTTCAACTGGTGGACCCTGCGCTCTTGTGGTCTGCACCATCATGCAAAACACCATCATCCTGACCATTGCCAGTTTAGACACCTGCGTGACCACATCCACGAATCCCCAAATCTGAATCAGCTCCTCCAACCTCTGCCTTGGGAACGACTTTGTCAAGAGGTCCGCCCATTGTAGCTTTCCTTGTATGTAAGCCACGGTCACTTGGCCACTTTCAACTTGTTCATGAATGAATGAGGCACGTACACGTAGATGGCGTGTTCGCCAAGACGTAGAGGATGATGGCTTGGCCAAGGACACGGCTGCCTGGTTGTCTATACGCAGCGAAATCCGCGCAACCTTCTGCATCTGGTTGATGACAGACTCGATACTCTTGCCCATCACCAGGCCCTCCGTCGCTGCTAGCAACTCGCACTCTGCAGTGCTAAGACAGGTAAAAGGCTGCCTCGCAGAACGCCAGCATACCGGGGCTCCAGACCACACCGCCACCAGGCCCGAATGGCTTTTTGCACCCGAAGGTGCAAACGAGCTGTCCGTGTAAACAGCAAAATCCTCGCCCACTGGTCGCAAGGCCAGTGCTAGGTTCTTGGTCCGCTGCAAGTAGGACCGCAAACGGGCTGCTATTTGTAGGCATCTTGGAGCAGCTCGTGTAAGTAGGGAGCCCATTGCACATACCACGAAAGATATGTCAGGGCGACTACGCTGTGCTATCCAAAGCAACTCGCCACAGGCCCGCTGGGCCTGCTTTATTTCATCGGGGCTGCCGGGCTCCTCGTTTTCGAACGCCTCAAAAGTCACGAGGTCCTTGGGGGCCTGAATAGGAGATTGATCGACCTCCCTTGTTTCATGAAGACGTAAAACCTCCTCAATGTAGGGCCGCTGATGAATGAACACCGCGTCATACTCCTCGGACACCGCTATTTCGCACCCCAAAAACCTGATCTCGTGGTCCGCTTCCAGAAGCTCGAGCTCCGAAGATTTCCAAGTTCCTCGGATAGCCTTTGATAGGGCTCGGACGAGTCGTAGAGGTCCACATAGCAAGATATCATCCACGTAGATAAGGATGACACCCTCCGGTTCCTTGTCCGAAGGGGCTCCGGTCTCATAGACGAGCCACATGTTTGGCTCAGCTTCACCCTGCTTGAGAGTCCACGACGTGTCTTCGTCTTCAATGATCATCTTCTTCATCTCACCATCGCGAAAGGCTGACCACAGCTTTGGGCTTTGGCGAAGGCCATACATTCCATGGGTGAGCTGCCATCTTTCACTCGGGTCAGCAAGACCAAGCTGCACCAATGCAGCGGGGGGTCTGATGATGTAGACGACCTCCCCGGTTCCTGTAGGCAAAGGCGTGAGCATAAATGCTCCAGTGATGTCGGTGATGCCGGCCCGCCACCGCCTTTTGGCGGTATACGTGAGGGCGCAACGCAAGCTCTCTGCCGCCGCTCCTCCTGCAAAAAGTTCACCTTGATCTTCTGCAGCATAATTACCACAGCAAACAATCCGAGCCTTTCTCTTGCAAAATGCAGCTTCTTCTGGAGGATCAACACCTCCAGCCGGGGGTTTGACGGTGTACACAAGCTTCGACGGTAGTTCTTGTACTTGGTGCGTTTCCCTTAGCTTGGCAACCTCGCTCCCGGTAATCCGCTTGAAACCACGTTCCACGACACCAAGCTCCTTTGCAATGGCAGGTCGCCATTTTTGGATCTCAGCCTTGGCCTCATGAGGACTAACATTGTAAGTGTGGCGAAGAGGAACCTGAGCATCAACAGCCCTTTGAATAATCTCCTCAATGCCCTCGGTGTACTCTGGTTCCAGCTTTGCAAGACGAGGGTGCTGATGCATTCCAACTGACGCCCAGTGCTCAACACACTCTTCAATATCCTGGCTTCCAAGATGAGCGTTCTCATAGTCCTGCAACACCTCTGCTGCCTGCTCCAAAGACGGAAACACCTGGCCCGGATCATCTGAGCTACACACTCTTCTCAAACATAGAAAGCTCCCATGACCCTCTTCCTCCTCCTCGTCAGGCTGGTTCTCCTCCTCAACATACATAGCCCAATCCCACATGGTCGTCTCACAATCTCCTGCTGGTACAACTTCCACATCATCACCTGCACCACGAGTTCCACTCAATGGTTCTTCAGATGGCAAGGAAATTGCTTTTGACACCGGTCTGGTTTCCAGTGCACCGCAGGGAGGGGAGTCATCTTGATCAACCTGATCCAAGGGGAACCTCAACGACACCAAATAATCTTTGTCCACTGCACCAAGTTTGTAGGCCCCTTGAGGTGTATACGCTGAGAGAAACCACTTTAGGTTCTTTTCGCTCACATAAGCGTGGGGGACCAACGGATCAAACACCGCCGGGGCTTTTGTAACATCAATCAGATGGCCTTCATGAAGCTTGCCATCATACTCCTCGTAGCCATATTCACGGGATTTGGCTGCTGCAATGACCTGAGGTTCCCGATCTTGACCTTGGACCCATAGTCCTTCAAGGGTTCTCGTCTTCAGCTCGGTCACGTAGTTGTAAGTCCCGCGCTCGTTGTGAACATCCCTGTGTCTTGGGACCTGCTCAGCTGACTGAATGGCCAGTGTTGTCCAAGAACACCTCAATGTCGGCCAAGCTTTGCCAATCTTCTTGATGAGGTAGGAGTTGAAATACCTTGTCACCCATGGAAGGTCCCGGCCATACTTGGTAACTCCAAAGTTTCCTCCATGAACAAAGGCACCCAGGATCATACCCGTGCCTTCGGGGGCACGAGGTACCTTGAGGTTTCCGCAAGTGCCGGCAAACAATGCAAGTAGACGTGCACAGTCCTTCTCGGTATACTTTTCAGCTTCACACAGCTGCTGCGCCACAACCTCAACATACTGTATCTCCTTGGGCCGCATGTACATCACCTGGGGCTCCGGTTCCTGGTGTTCTCCCGGGGCTAGTAGTTCATGAGGTAGTTGCTCCCGTTCCTGGTAGAACCCATCCGCTTTAGCAACACCAGGTCGTTTCTCACGCACACGTCGTGGTGGAACAGCAGGTGGTGGTAGAGGAGGTTTATCATCAGGTGGTTCTGAAGGTTCATCGGGCTCAACAACAATCGTTGGTGTCACCTCCTCCAATGAAGGTGGGTCTGTAGTAACCCGAACGTGGGTGGTCTGAATGAAGGTTCCAGACTCCTTGAGGATCACATGTCCCCCCCGAATATCAGACGACGGTCCAACATACCGTCCTCTGGTCCAGTGTGGTCCAAAGTCCTCCACCGCACCTGTCTTGTAGCGCTTTGTCTTCACATACACCTTGGAACCATAAGCAACCGGCAATGGAGACAGCTCTCCGAGCTGCTCATAACGCTGCTGGGCCGCAGCGTACTGGACAGCGGTTGGCCAATTGGACTTGTCCACGCCCGCACTATCCAACAAGATGCGGGCACGACGCTTCAGGTATCGAACTCCCGACTCAGCCACACCATTCGCCGCCGAATCAGAGCCTGAGGTTGTAGTTGGCCACATTCCACTTGCCAATGCCCACTTTCGCACCAAGTTTCCCCGAAACTCACCTCCACGGTCCGAATGAATTCGCGTGACGGGATAGCCGAGGGCCTTCACATCCGTCACGATCTTTTGCACTGCAGGTAGCATTGTAGCCGCCCTCTTGTTGTTTACAGGCACCGCAAAGTAGAGCGTCGTTGTAAGCAATGGCTTCTTGAACGCGGCCTTCAGCTCCTCCCATTGCTTCTCTTCCTTGTCAACATCTTCCAAACCAACGCCTGCACCATCAGGTGGATCAACATCAGCGTCCTCATCATCTGAGATGACCTCCTCCTCGGGTTCCTCAGGAGGTAGAGGATACCCTCGAACTTCCCCATGACCATGTGCACCTTCGACGCGCGGAATCCTCAGGGCTCCAATCACAAAGTACTTGAAAAACTTCCCGTCCGGAGACCGTCCATATCCCTTGAGTGGTCCAACCACATCCACGCTCAAACTGTAGGCCATGGGGTGCAACGTAGAGCGGTGCTGATGTCCCGCTGCACTGTTCCTCACACACACAGAGCAGTCTCTCCTGAAAGGCTGGTGGTTTCGAGCAACATGCAGCCGCCACGCTGCATCACTGCTAAGTTTGGCCAATCTAACATGGCACCTTTCGTCGAAATCATCGACGGACACATCAACGAGGCCCATCTCCATGAAATAAGCCAGGGAATCCTTGCAGCGTTTCCACGGGGGCCAAACTTCATCACATTCTCGAGCTGGTGAAGGCGCTGAGGGATGGGCTTTGTAATCCTCGACATACAGCTTCACTGATTCTCCTCCATGTAGATCACGAGCTGCGGAAGACAAGGCGTGGAGGTAGTGGACCTTGCTCCGGTGAGGTCCTGCAACAGCTTGGTCCAATGGCCGGGGGCAACAGTCTCTAGCCACAATAGCGCTGATTTTTCCTTCCATGGCACCCCACTGGATTACCGACCATACGTTGTGGTACTCATTCTCAACCAACATGGTGTTCAAGTTCACATAGACAAAGGATCCAATGAAGGCCAAATGCTTGTGGGGGTCCCTCGTCTTTTCAACCGAAGGTGGGTCCCACCGTATAATCCAACCTGAGGCTCGCAGAAGGCGCTTTCGAGCTCGTCTGTTGATGTTCACGCCCTTGAGGAGTTCCCAGATTCCAAGCTTAGGCCTCCTTGTCACCATCTGGTCCTTCACAATCTGTTTGAAGTCCAAGAATTCCGCTTTGTCAACTGCAGAAACCCCGTCCAGCACGCTGCCACCCTTCACATACTCCCTAAGGTACGACCACCAGCTAGCCTTTAAGCCTTGAACAGCCTTCACTGAGGACTGGGTGGCATCTTCAAGACGAGGAAGCTCCTGAGCCTCGAGCTGCTGGATGAGGTGTTGAGCTACTCGCTCACTGACCTCCGGGCATCCGTTCTTCACCACCAAGGGAAGCGAATCTCCTTCAGGACCAATCAACTCACACTTCTCCGAAGTCCAACAAAGCCTGTAGCCCAGGGTCGTTATCACTCGCCCAAGTGGCACAATCACCTGAGCCAGCTGGTCCCCTGAAAGCAAGGACCCTGCATCATTCTGCTTCATAGCCGCCACGCTGTCGCCAGCCAAGATCACATTCACATCCTTAGCCTCGTTCCACTCCTCCTCATCCTTTGGAGCCCTGAGCACATGGGTGGCTCCCGAGTCCAAAAGGGCTGGCCGCCCTTGCCCGCGCGAACCTCCATCCCCGGAAGTCCATCTTTTGACTTTCTCCATGACAGACTTGAACAGCGGGACCCCCTGGAGCTCCTTTAACGCGCGGAGGACCTTGGCCTGGATCACACCATCCTCTTCAAAGTTCACCTTCCTCTGATTTGCGCTCGGCGATGAAGCCGTCGGCGAGGTGGAACCTGTTTCTCCCGCACCTGCAGGGGTAGTCCGCGGCGTAGCTCCCTTAGCCAACCCACCGCCTGGGCACTTGCATTCTCTCACCTTGTGTGCTGTTGAACCACAACACAGACACTTCTTCTGGCGGGCTCCCTTCTCCAACAAAGCCCACGTGTGAGGGTACCTGCAGCCATTTCCACGACGACATCCTTTATCGGAAGCGAAATACCGACAAAGGGATCCCGGTGATCTTGGAGTTGTAGTTGTAGTTGTAGGTGTAACTTGAGGTTGGGAAGGTGAGTTGTCAGTGGCAGTGCTGTTCAGGACACGCAAAGCTACCTGATTGTCTGCAGCACCCTTGGACGCTCCCAATCTGGCCTGCTGCTCCATCTCGGCTTGCAGATGCTGAAGGAACGTCGTCACCGTTGACGATGAGGGGCTTACATCCACCTGCAGGGTGCTCCGTATCAAGCTCACTCTGAAAGCCAGCTCACCACTGCCCTTTATGATCAAGCCAGTGATCTTGTCGAGCCCCCGCACTAGGACCGACGCATCCGGCTCAGCCATTCCAAGCGAAGCCGCCCGCCTCCGCCACAAGCTCCAACGCCTGAGGCCCTCAACAGCTTGAAGTGCCGATGTGCACTCCTCTGGCTGCTCCAGCATCTTCAAAACCAAGGTCTTCTCCTGGAGGTTCCCTGGTTGATACACTGAATAAAGTTTGCACAGCAAATCCAGCGTTGACACCTGGCCGTGGGCAATGATCTCCTCGCGGATGGCCTTGGGCACTGCACTCAACATCATCGCCGTCGCCCGTCGTTCCACACGGGCCCACTCAGGTTTCAAAACGCTTGAGGGTCTGGGCTTCAACTGCAGTCTAGCTAACGGCGTCGAGGCTGAATACTGGCCATACCACGATAAGGCATCCTTGGTCGTCTCCTGCCACCAAGCGAAGCTGGTATCCGAAAGATCCTCCATGATCGGGGCGATGTGGGTAAGCCAGTGTAGCAAATCTATCGACCCCGTAGCCGGCTGGTACTCTGGAAGATGTGGTAGTTCTGTTATCCCCGGCTTCACTGTCTCTGGTCGATCACCTCTTGAACCCTGCTGCTGTTGTTGAAGAAGCGCCTCGATGCCCTTTGCCAACGTCACCAAGACATTGTCCGCAGCAGGACCAGGCAGCGACGCTCCTGGCACTTGAGGGGGAAGTGGAGGTGGTGGTTGAGGAGGTTGTAGTGAAGGTGGATGGAAAAGTGACTGAGAAGCTCTCGCTACACCTGGAGGACCTTGATCTTGCTGCTGAACATCATCACGACCAGAAGGACCCATTCCGAATAGCCCTTGGAAAAAGGCGCGTGGACCCCCCGGAGACTGTGACCTTGCAGACGACCTAGGAGCATTGTTGCTATAAAAAGGACCAGGTAGAGGATGATTAGCCGGAACTCCGGCGGAAGCTCCAGCATCATATACACTAGGATCTACACCCAGTGCCCTGTAAGCCCGATCACCTCCAGGTAGTCGTGTTCCCTCAGATAGCACCGAACCTTGTGGTACTTTCACAACATCCCCTTGTTCATCTGTCCCACGTTCAGGTTCTTGATCCTGCCTTGTCATAGAGCTCTTAGGACCAGGTAGAGGATGATTCGCAGGGACTCCGGAGGAAGCTCCAGTCTCGCCGCTCATGAGGGGTGGAAACCCCGGAGGTGGTCCAAAAGGGCCGTTTCGAACTTCACGTTCTCTCATCTCATACATTTCGAGTTGCTCTCGTAGCTGTTGAGCCTCCTGCACCGCCTGTTCTGTTCTTTGTCTCTCGGCTTGCAGGCGACCCATAACATCACTCATCGCAGAGTCTAGTTGTCTAGCCACTTCTGCTTGCACCATCTCTTGAGGAGCCCCAGCAGAACCACTCGAGCTGGACTCAGGTCGTCGTTCACGGGCTAACGGAGAGGCCACCACCATAGTCTGGACTTGACTCTGGTTATGCCAAATCCCCTGTTGTTGAACTGAAGCATTAGGTGGGGAAGCCCATGAAGTCACTTCAACCCTCTTCTGGATGTAGTCCCCAAGCTTTGTAAGCCACGAAGTCCTTGTCCCACCTTGCTGCTGAGTCACCGGAGATTGACCTGGCAACGGCGAAGGCGTGAAATTCTGGAACAAGGGCAGCGACAACCTGGCTTGCGAGGATGTACTCAAGGGTGGGGCAGTCACATCTGCCGTCGGCACTGTTCCCTCGGCGGAAATCTCACGTGCCCTATCATGTGAGGCCATGATACCTTCATTCCCACTAGCTAGGACAGGAAGTTCCATCTCGCTGCGAGGCGCAACGATTCCTGAATCAGGTGGAGTTCCGTTCAACAACGTCCTAGTCATTCCTGGAGGTGGTACTTCACGATCAGGTCGCAGTGGTTCTGGCATGGCATTCCCCTGAGCGGGAACGCGGTCTTCATCCTGTAACGTTGGGCTCATACCCTGCTGAAGCAGAGCATCTCCAGTTAGTTCAGTGGGAGGGGTAGACATGGCTCACAAACGAATTTCGGACTGTTTTCAAAGCGACGCACCTGAAGACTTCTGCTGGTTATTCAGCTTGTCTGACTGCTGTGCTTTGCACTAGCTGTTGGTTTGCGAAGCTTATGCGCTTGGGCCTCCAAGGCCTTCATCGCTCATGCAATCCGTTTGGGGCAAGGCTTTCGGAGGTTTCAGCACCTAAACCCTAAAACCCTAAAGCCCTAAAGCCCTAAAACCCTAAAACCCTAAAACCGTAAAACCCTAAAACCCTAAAACCCTAAATGTTGAAATCGGTTCTGCATAATTAAGGCCCTGAGGGCCTTTCAGTCTTCTCTGGGGGTGCTTCTTCTGAGCATGCTACTATCCATTTTAGGGTTGAGGGTTTGGGGTTCAGGGTTTGGGGTTTAGGGTTTGGGGTTTAGGATTTAGGGTTTAGGGTTTGGGGTTTATAGGGTTTAGGGTTTAGGGTCCCTAAACCCCTAAACTCCCGAAACCCCCTATACCCCTATACCCCTCAGGGACGACATGAACCCTGAAAGGGTTTAAGGTTCATATACCATATAGGGATTCCTAGTAAAATTGTTTTAGGCCTCTACTTTTTAAGGGTGATTTCGTCCTTAAGGCCCCTAAACCCCCTAAACTCCGAAACCTTCAAACCCCACCGCCGAACGAAGGATGCCTTTTCGAGCCTTTTCCGTCCTTTCGCCCCATACAGGTGCCGAACTCAGCCGCTCCGTCCCTCTGGCCCAAGAAACCGACTCTTTTTAGGGTGTACCTAAACCTATCTGTCTATCTATAGATAGATAGATAGATAGATAGATAGAGGGAGTGTTTTAAGACGCAAACCAAAGTATAGGATTCGATATGTGGGCACATGGACCGTTACGGACGAGTAAGGAGCAGATCGCAGCATTACCGTCTTCTGCTAAGTGTCGCCAGGGTCGCTACAGGCTTGGCACCGCTGGACGATGGTTTAGGGTTTAGGGTTTAAGATGGTGCATTGCTCTGTGGTAGTTTCGTCATCGTTTTACCTTGTCACCCTAAGCCCAAAAGTCTCACAGTTATCGCTATTCTGGCCACTTATCGCTGAGTTTTCAAACTCTTCACCCCATTCTCTCGAGCCGGCACTTGCCCTGTCCTATGGTGCATTGAATAAATGTCTCTTTCTGTGGATCATTTTTTAAGCACTTTGTTCCTTCCTGGACCAGTTTCTACAGCTTGGGGCCCTGGAAGTGGAGATCGCGGGCTGAGACATGTACTGTCAAGCCTTTCAACAATGACGCGGCAGAGCAAGTGGCACTTGTGTGGGGGACGGGTGGAGGGGTGCCGATTAGCGGGTTAGTCACTGAGAGTTTTTGCTGGTCTAGGGTTCAGTTCAACGGGGTGCTCATGTGTTGGTATAAAGGTGAGCATGTATTGTGCAGAAGTTTCTTGCTTTCTGCGCAGTTCAGCACATAGACAGCTGCTAGCTCCAACGGCAGTCCGTTAGTAGGACTACTCAGCCGCCTTTTTTCAACGAGATCCAAAACCTAAACCCTAAACCCCTAAACCCTAAACCCGAACCCCTGCACCAAAGTGCAGCCACTAGAAACTCCAACTCCTCAAAAGGCCCCCCAAACACTTCAGGCTCAACACCTGGGAGTTTCCGAAAATAAGGGGTACCTTACTTGGGGTCCTTATAATAAGCATCCTACTATTTAGGGTACTATGCTAGGGTCCCCTATTTTCCGAAACCTCCACATGAATTCTTCCGTCAGAAGCCCCCGAAACCTGAAATTGAAAATCTTAAAACTCAAACCATAGGCTCCAAACTGCCACCCCAATTTCTTTGATGGTCCCTCAACCTGTTTCAACCCAAAACCCCAAATCATTTCTCCACAGAAATCAGACTTACCTTGAGTGTCCAAATCTACAATGTCATAATGAAGTACTTGCCCTAGACTCTTAGGCACTACATCCACAAACTCTGAAGAAACACTTAATTACTTTGACAGGAACCTAAACCCTAAACCCTAACCAGACCCCTACATAAACCCTAGAACTAAACCCCTAAACCCCTAGACCCCTAAACCTAAACCCTAGATCCCTAAAGCCCAATAACAGTGCTAAACGTATCCAGCCCAAGGCCGCCGTTGCGTGCTCTCTGCGTTGGCAGATTGGAATTCGAGCCCTCTTCCGAAGAGGCCCAGGGTTTTGGGGTTTTGGGTTTAGGGGTTTAGGGCGTTTAAGGTTCAGGGGTTGAGGGTTGAAGGTTTTAGGAGTTTCGGGGTCTAGGGTTTAGGGTTTGTGGTTTAGGGTTTAGGGTGTGCCATTACTTTAGGGTTGGCGGAGGATTTAGGACTCAGGACTGCAAGTTCAAGTTCAGGGTTCATCTGTATCCCCAAATCCTAAAAAAAACTGTAATACAGTGGATTTTCGAACCTCAGGTAGGGTTTAGGGTCGAAGTTCCGGGACCCTGAACCCTAAACACCAAGGCCTAAACCCCCATCCCTAAACCCTGAAGCCTAAACTCTACCTTAACCCCGAATAGCCTACCTTTTTAAGGACTTTTGGTAAAGAATTCATAATAAGAAGCTCAAAGAAGGTAGGTTCTTTAGGGTCCAGGTAAACCTCAGTTGAAGTTAGAGTTTTGGGAGCTGAGCTTCGGCAGATCAGAACTCGAAACCCTGTCCGAAGAGGCCGAGTTCGCTGTCAAAGTCGTGGTCCCTTTGGGTTTTGGGTTTATAGGTTTACAAAGGGTTTGGGGTTTAGGGCTCAGTCAGGGTTGAGGCAGCTGTCAAAATCGTGGTCCCCTCGGGTTTGGGGGTTGGTTTAGTTAACTGTCAAAAACTTGGTCCTTTCGGGGAACCCTATGTAACTTTACTCTCCACACCCTAAACCCTAAACCCCATAGCTTGTGAACCCAGAAGAGACCCGAATTTAGACAACCGCCACCCACATGTTGTCACTTTAGGCTTGGAGTTCAGCCCTTAGGACTACCAGCATCCCCAAGTACCCTTTAATAGAGCGCTCATGGTCGTTAGTGGGTATTTAGGGTACAGAAAAGGGTGGTTGGGGGGTCCTGGTAGGTCAGGGTTTAGGGGCCACGGTTTACTTCAGACGGTCTGGAGTTGAGTGGTTTAGGGTTTAGTGTTGAGGGATTAGGGTCAAAGAACTTATCTTGGTCCTTGTTGTCTACAAGTTTACATCTCTGTTCCCATTAAACTTTAAACCCAACAAGGAACGAACATTATCATTTTAAATATAGGTTCAGGGTTTAGGTGTTTAGGGTTTAGGGTGTAGGCGTTTAGGGGTTTAAGGGTTCATGATTTCGAAGAGCCGGCGAGTAACCAATCGACACAGGCCTGGGTTGGGTTCTCTCTGTGCTTTTAGGTTGATCTTAGCCAAACAAGCTTACTTTTCGTGTGTAGGGTTTAGGGTTCGGGGTTTTGGGTTTGCGGTTTGTGGTTTGGGGTGTAGGGTTGAGGGTTTGGAGTAGGGTTTAGGGCAGGGCCCTAGAGAGCACTTGGACGCCTGGTGTGGCCAAAATTCCGAAACTGGATGTCCACATGACGCTCACAGCGCTCCCTTTTGGGAACGTTGCATCCTACGTCGCTGAAGGCCTCGCGGACACAGCCTGCACTGCGTGGGGTCCTAGACTTGAATGCAGGGGCGGCGAAGGTGTACGACGCTTCGCCTCAGTTCGTGGGAGCACTTGACAGTCGAGAACAGCAAGAACCGCGACTACCCAGCTTCTCTGGAGGATCTCGCGACCTTCGGGATGATTCACGTGTGTGGGACCAAGCCCAAGTACTTTCGGATTCTCTACGCAGACAATGGGACGCTGAAGGCTTCAAAGACAGCTACTACATCATGAGAGCGTTTGTGGAGTTTCTCTGCAACACTGCAACGCACGAAGAGAAACTTGCTACGCTGGGTGCTTTAAGACCCTGGAGACCCGTACCTGAGCTCATCCAGCCTG